CATCAAATATCCAGATTAATGGCTTAGATTTGTTTGACTATTAAATAAGGTCTGGCCCAATAGGATAATTAAATGTGAGCCCAATGCTTTCGGGCCACATATTCTTACAAAAAGAACATACCATCACCGATCTGAGCAGTGCCGACGACGGAGGAGCTCCACCGCCGAAAACCGACCGGGGATAGCGACGACGCAAAAGCCTCTGACCGCAGACCGCAACCACGAGCTAGAGTCCGATCGCGACCCAACGACGAAATTAGGAACGCTCGCCGTCGACGGAGGTCGGGACAGACATCGACGACCCCAGGCCGAGACTAACCGACACCGAAGAAGGCTAATTCGCCGGAAATTGAAGGAAAGGCGCCGCGGATGAAGGGTTACGAGGGGAATTGGGGGAAAAAAATTAGATTAGCTAATCCCCTTATGTAAGTCCGCCAGTGCCCACAGGAATAAATCACCATTTAGCAAGCCTAATGTAAAATAAAAATGATCATTCACAAGTTGTTGACTTTATTATGTAAACTAAAAATGACCGTTCACCAAGTTTTGACCTTAAAAGGGTCAAAATTGCACATCATGGTACATGTCATATAGTATGTTATTATTGTGTAACAAGAGGTTTTTATTAATTAAATGCCATTTTTCCTAATTCTTCATTGTATGAACATTAAGGCATGCCTAGTAAGTTTGCTGTCCTGTCAGAGTTATTTTGTGATATAATAATTTCAGACATACTGATGTAGGGAATGCGTACGAGTGGGAAAAGATAAAAGAAATACTCTTTCTCGATAAACCACACAAAAACAGATTTCTTATTTCATAATCAACTGCCTAATAACAAAGCATAAGACCCTTTAAATAAAGCTCCTAAATTAAACACTGGCTTATTCTTCAAGCTACTAATTATTAAATAATAATAAATAATAATAATAATAATTATTATTATTATTATTATTATTATTATTATTATTATTATTATTATTATTATTATTATTATTATTATTATTATTATTATTATTCTATCCTCATCATTCTCCCCCGGTTGAGTAGGATTCAGCCTCGAATCCGACCCGTTTCCGTTGGAATCGTCCCCAATACCCCTGACATTTTCCTCGATCGAACACGAATGTTGAAGGTCTTCCAACAACCTCGAACATAAACAAAATCTCGGTCAAGGACTTAACTGCTGCGAAGGCACATGTACACGTCACCATTCGCAAAGCCCGCAAAACTGAATGAACACCAAAAACACCACCTCGTTTGCCTCGCTCAAATCCATAACAACGGCCAAACATCTCATTGTTGGGAGACTTCGCGAAAGGAAATCGGAAAATAGTCCACCAATTATCGGGCATCGGCTTCAGCTCCGAAAAACCATCTTTGGCCAAAATTCCCAAAAAATCGGGTGTAAATGACGGCTTCCTATTCGAAGACGTAATCGTTGCAACATCACATGCGGGACCCTTATTACTGTAAAAATATGTTTTCGTCGCCGGAGCCTCCTCATCAAAATGGGCGGACTGTTATAAATTGACCCGTCAACGTGATCCTCGTCGAAGTCCAGAATATCAGCGCGAAACGGGCTCACCAGTTGACCAAATTCGCGGCCAAAATCCCTCTGCACAAGCTCAAAATTCGTAGCTACTCTACCGGCCAAAAAAGAAGGAAAAATTCCATTCATTTTTTGGTCCAAATAAATGGAGTTGGGTCGTCCTTGCGCAGGCCCAAAACTGTGAAAAGAATCCCGATTTCTTTTGTGTCTCTGCGCAACGCACAAATCGCCATAACAGCCCTATCTCTCCTTGAGATCTTCTTGCCCAGCACATCGATAATTCAGGCACTGCCCATTTGCAACTCCTCGGTGAAATCCAAAATAGGGATGACCTCCGTATCCCGCCGCGTTCTCGCTGGCGCGCCGTCCATCTCGGCCGCCGTCACCTGCGAACCCCGCAGCAGCTCTCCGCCGGTCGTGAAAACCAGAACCATCAAAAACCACCGTCGAGCTTCGCGGCCAGGGTTGGCTCCATCGAACTTCACGACCCCCTCCGTCTCCAAAACCGGTCGCCTTCCACCTTAAATCGCGCTCTCCGGCCGTTGCAAATCCCTCATCGACCCAACGCGGCTCGCGGGCAAGGAAGTCGCCGCCGTCGACAGCGGTGCGACGCCCCTCTTGCGGCCATTGTCGCGTGCTCCTCGCGCCGTCAGTAGCCCGGCGGAAATCACCGTCAGTAGCTCGGCGGAAAACATAGGACGATGGTTTCCATGGGTACGACTCCGGTGTCGGCACGTTTGGTGTGGCTTCGAGGGCGAA